CGAAAAATGCCACAGACCAAACTTTTCTCAAATGGTGTTACTGACTTATTAATGGCTTACCAAGCTAACAAGCAAGTGCTAATAATATGTACATTCTCTTGGCTAAATATATACAGAACTGAAACCAACATCGTAGGACTGTTACCTGAAATATCACAATAGAGAATGTAAAAAAAAAGACTGCCAAGACAGCAATCGCAACGTGTATGTGTCTATCAGCTGAGCAGGACTAGCATGTTTCCAACTTTTAAAAACCATAAGTAGATTAAACATTTTAGATTAAATTAGATTTGAGACTTTATGTCATTTCACCAAGAGCTACAAGTACTAACCCGGAAACTAAATGCGTTAAGCATCTAACCAGAAGGTGGCAAAAAAGGCCAGCTAAAATGCAGATAATGTGGGGGCATATGCTACAGAAAATATAAAAATACATTATAAAATATATGACGGAATATACTAGCCAGGATGACACTTAAGATGAAGAAATACAGCAATGCAATTAACTATCTTGCAACTCAACCAGCTCAGGTAACATAAATACAGAAATAGGCCCACCACACTAACAACATGTCATAAAGTGTGTCCACATGCAACGTACCGCATTAGCAAATAGCTTCCATTTACTCTTCACCTTTACTCTACGCTTTTCTGGCAGACATGACCCCTTGCCTGGTAAGATGAACAATTTGAACATAAAACAAAGAAAACCAAGAAACAGCAAAAATATTGTACTCCGACTGCTGGCAACTGCACAGTAAAAATTGTATTATACATTACATTAGCATTATTCTTGTGGCCTTGAGATCTGACTCCATGATAATGCACATTATTGCATTTTGTTTACACTTGAGCTCCACCCCGACAAGGGTGCCAGCAAGGGCTTGCAGGTGCTTGACACAACATAAAAGTGCTTAGCAGAATGACAGGTCTATGTATTTTTTTGAAGCGAGCCTTGAAGAAAGATTTTGGAAAAAAGGCATATTCAAGTGTATTGCATGAATAGCCTTTTCCAACAATTTAACGTACATGCGCAGTAGTAGAAGCCATCCAGCTTTATTTGTCCCATACCG